GTAAACTGGTACTGTTTAATACTAAGACATGTGATTACATGTGATAGACATTTGGCGAACATGTGAGCATGTGTGCATCTGAGTTGTGCTGGATCTTTCTTTGACTTCTTTTCACTCTGTCGCCGTAGGCTTCGCTATTTTGTGCTCTCAGCGTTGGATTTAGGTGAATTTAAACGCCTCAACGGTGGCATTTTATCGAAATCTGATGGAATTGTCCTTTGTTAATTTATTTGTTTCAAAACGAACACGACTTTGAAGCGCCTTGACTTTCCGGATGTTAACCGTGGGAAAAACTATATTTTGATTGCATTACTTGATTATTTCCAGTCGCGACAGACACGTAGATAGCTCAGTCCTTATCCAGTTGAATATTGTTTGGAATCGGTGGAAAAGTACTCTGAAGGCAAGATCTATAAGAGTGAGCCTGAACCAAGGAATGGCAAATTATGTAAATACTGTCTACCTTATTCATCAGGGGAACATGATACGCGAATTAGTCGAACGGAGTTTGTTTACACTGACGATAAACGAGCACACGAATGTTTGCTTACATTTGTGCTTCCAGTTTAGAATAATGTATGTAAAATTTACTTTTACAAATTAATGTGAGAATATTAAGTACAAAATTTGAAGGCTATAAATGTAAATATTTTCGTTCTATTAACTTGTGTACGGAAACTTCCGCTGTCATGCAACGTGTCAACAAATAGTGGACTTTGACATTATGATAAATTTGTCTGTATAAAAACCTCAGTTGTCGATGAAAAACGTTGATTTTAGCAATAGACAGAGGTTAAAAGTCAGCTAGTGAATTCATTTATATATATTTAATTAAGTGACAGCGTCGAACGCACTCTCATAATCTTTGATTACTACTAGTAATACTTGTAATCTATTTACATGTAAGTTTTGTCTTTTCTTTACAGAGTGATCAGTTGCATGTGCTTGGGTTTGTAGATCACGTCATACAACATTTGAAGGAAAATTTTGTGAATGGTAAGATGAATTTAAAGCTGTGCTGTGTTTAACCATAATGAATAATATTAATTTTGTATATAATCTAACTCAAAATTTTGTTGTATTTAATATTTGTGTTCTGTGCTTGTTTGCCAGCCTTATCCTCTAATCTTTGTCGTCCTGTCACAATGGTAAATGTTGTGATGCACTGCTGATAGTTAATCACATATAATCCAAAGGGATTTTTTGGGTATTCTGTTGTTTCCAAAGTGTGAAAAAATCTTGAAAGGTCTAGGCAGACAATCTTATGTACCTTTGACATTATGTTTTGACATGTTTTTGCTCTGCTACAGGCAAGGTAAGCAAAGCTAAATGCTTAGTCCAAGATGCTGTTGTGTTAGCTCAGAACAGAAGTTTAATCCATCACGTGGGTTCTTCCTCCTATGGTAAGTGCATACATACACCTTATCTACTTACTATTTTGAAAGATAAATGCGTATATATGTCAGTGTTTTGCAAGTTGTCTTCAGGGGTTTTCTGATTCCGAAAAGGGGAGAGGAAAATACAAACCAAGCTTCTTTTCAAAAGTTCCAATGAGCACCCCCATCCTTTCTATATCGGAGTCCCCTTCCTGGGGGGGTGGGGGAAGGAGTATTTGTGCTGTTTTGAACTGGCACTGCCTGAATATTTCCCAAAATATTATAATTATGAAAGCCAGAATCAAAGATTACCCTAGGTGTTTACCACAAGCATGTCTGGAAAAGTGATCAATTTGAGAGTGACTGCCTGGGGGGTCCTATTGCATGGCCTTAAAGCATCATTGTATAATATTAGGTGGAGTTGCAGCAGTAACATCACTGGCATATTCTGAAGGCACATTATAAGTGGGCTCGATGCAACATTGTGTGTTTGGATACCTGCAGTTTACTAATAATTTAGTATACAGCAGGAATTCAACATTATTAATAATTATATTAAAAATAATAATTATTATTTCTAATGTAAGTGACAATTATTTATTTCAGCTAAGGACCCATTCATTCACAAGGACACAAGGTAACCCTAATGCAAAACCTTCTGTGATAAATGCCAAGCAATTGTATCAAAAGTTTGTTGTTAGGGATTCAGATTTTTTCTTTGTCCCACGCCCATGTCATGTTGATCAATTTACCTTTCACATTTCATTACCGAGCTTAAAATTTACCATCTTTATTCAATTATCACTACTCACGATGACTTCAACTGTGCTGATCCTAGCAGTATGCAGGATGCCTGTCATATATGAACTCAGTTAAATGACCTTGCTCCCTATGAGTTCTCATAGCTAAGTGGATAGAGCACCTGCCTGGTGTGCGGGATGTCGTGGGTTCGATTCCTGTTGAGGACTGAGATTTTTTCTTTGTTCCACACTCGTGTCACGTTGATCAATTCACCTTTCATATTCAGGTTATAATTTTTAAATTATTTTTATTAGAGATGTGTTTAGACGGCTCTTTGGAGAACCCTCAGAAAAGGATGCTGCATTAAAGGTAATGTTAGATTTTAAAAAGCAAAAAGCATGTTACATGTACAGTTCTGTTTCTGTCATGTGCAACAATTTTTAATTTTCTTCCAGTGTTCCAGTGAAACTTTCCATTTTTGTACTATCACTTCTCATCATGAAGATATTGGCTCTTTTGTAGTTCTTAATGGAGTTTGGGCAAACATTTTGGCATACACTTCCAACCAAAATTGGGATTTTCCATGATTGTATATGATATAACATTATAAATTATCTTAATTTTACATTTGTAGGCTATGTGTTTGTTTCCACTGTATGTGAAGTTTGGAGGTGCTGTTTGTCGCTATTTAAGGCGTTGGCTAGAAGCAGGAAAACTAGATGAACCTGGTGTTACTTCCTTAACACCTTTGCCAACTCTGCAGAAGGGTAGCTCAGTTTCTTCTAGTTCAGAATCAAAACAAACCACCAGTACAAAAGAGAACAATACTACAGCTGTCTCTCAATCTGTGACCAAAGCTTTGCCGTCCAGTGAGCCCAAACCAACCAAAGGCCCTTCGGTTACGTTGGCTACTATGAACAGAAATGGTGGGTTGGAAATCTTGGGTAGCTCAGACGATGATGACAACGACAATGATGACGATGAGGAGGAGGATAGCTGGGAAACAAAAGTCATCCGTGGAATACAATCTGTGCTCACTGACAGGGCGGGTCCATCTGCCATTGACTACATGGAAGTTTATAAACGGCATAAAGATGGCTCCTACAGGCGACTAAGGGATCAGCTTCATCTTGGCAAGCCACACCCTAATCAAGAATTTGAAGAGAGGTGCAGGAAAAAGGAAGAGGAAGTGATCGAGGGCAATCGGCTCCATGAAGTGATTCTAAAAGACTATGCTGAAAGTGGCAGGAAAAAGCATGCCTGTGCAAACTGTAGGCAGGTTGAGAGATATGCAGGAACGTTCAAGAAATGCCAGAGGTAAAAAACCATTTATAGTTTGTATTAACCCTTTGCCTTGAAATTCTTGAAAGTGAAACATTAATATGTGTAGATTGGGTTCAATCTTCAATCCAAGGTAAGGTTTGTCATGCAACAGTGCTAAATATTTCATAAATTTGGGTTTGTGTGTCCAACATTTAAAATAAAAATTATTTTTCTAATAACGTACAGAGCAAGGAAGCATAAAGCATATACTGCAGTACTAGGACTAGAACAAACCACACTTGCAGCCAGCATTAACTTTACCATTAACAGTCTCACTGCAACAAAAAGCAGTGGATACAGTTTACAAAATAATGTTCATGAGTATTTTTCAATGGCAGGCTCAATTCCTTTCGAGGTCTGTTTATGGGAGCTTAAAGTGCTACTATGATGAAAATCGCATCTTTCAAACCTGAGCCATTTTAAGACGTAAACAAGTAGTCTGTACAAGAGTAAAAATGTTGTTTACTGTTTTCAGATATCTCTTTTCGTTCCAGAGATATTCAAGTTTTTCAAATATGCAAATTAACCAAGTAATGACGTCGTACGCTCAACCGAATTTTGATCAAATACGATAAACGAGGATGACTCAGTCAATTTGTATCAGAAATGTTTGATTTTTTACTGTACGATTCTACTAGAGGTGCTCCACAATGTGAGCTTAACAATTATTTGTGTTACCATGGCAACATACTGGGTTCCAGACCTCCATGATATTAAAGGCTTTTCTGACCACTTTTAGCATTCTATATTGATATTTGCCAATGGTGCCTCATCTGCTTGATCCAGCAAGCATATAAATATGTTGAGTTCATGACCTTGTTTAATGTTTTCCAAGCTTAAAATCACTAAAATATTGAAATCAGGCTAGAGAGGACTGGAAAAGAGTGGGTTGTCATGGGAACAGAAATTGTTATAGCTGTAGGTGTGTTGCATTTAGAACTATTAGCCTACCAATGATTTCTGCTGCAAATTGACCAAGAGAGCACCATCTATATACTTGATGTAATATTTGGTTGAGTGAATGACATCATCAGTCATCTCATTTGCATATTTTAATCATTTTTCAAACTTAAATATCTCCAGAACCAATGCAGATATTTGTAAATGGTAAACAGCATCTTTAATCTTTCGTAGAATTCTATGTGATTAACCTAAAAAATCAAGGGGTAAAAATTTGATCATAGTATTACTTTAAAAACAAGGAAAAGTCTAGATTATCATAGTAAGCCCTCAAAGAGTCTGTTTGCTTACGAGAATATTAGCTTACAGGAATGAGTAAATCGCTCAAAGTTGCACAAGATCTTTACTTTCTATGGTACATTAAATTTAGCATTGGTATTTAAAACCCAGACAGCTGTCTGGCTATAAAGAATTTTAGCTTGAACTTTAGCATCATTCCCTCTAGCTTTATCACTATTGTACATGTCAGTATTATTTAGTCTTCTAACTTGTAACTCCACCCTCCCTCCCTTTGGAGGCTTGATTGTTGTTATTATTTGAATAAACTGGGGGTGACCTCTCGTTATACACCTTATTCCAAAATGGCTGCCATTTTATTGTTCTTTTGTTTGCTTGCAAATTAGCCCTTGTTGCCTCGTTCAAGGGAAAATATTGTTTTGAAGGCAACAAAGGGTAATTTGAAGGCAAACAAAAGAATACTAAAATGCTGGCCATTTTGGAATAAAGTGTATGACACTATCAGTTAATTCTCAAAGTGACCTCTCCAAGCTTTGTTTTTTCCTAATATTAGTGGCACTATTTTGCGCTTGTTTTGGCTGATTTCTGATTCAGCATGTGCTGGCAGTGTCGGCTTGTAGTGCTGGTGATATAGTAGGCTTGAGCAAGCCACAAATGTCTACACTCCACTCCAGTGCCATTTAGAGTTAGGCTTTGCCCTTTTGCTGACTTGTCTGATCCAGCACAGGTTTTACTCCTGAGGAGATAAGTCAGGCTTTGGTCATGCAATGTAAGTTCATCTGTCATGCCAATCGCAGAGTAGTGATCCTCCCTTTACCCCATTTATTATTGTTTTTTTGCACTTGTCTATTACCATTGTTTGATCATAACTCTCTGCGAACTGCAACATTAACCATGCTTTTATTGTTGCATGTTTCTAATAGGTGCAAAGGGAAAGGAACAAAATTTTACTGCAGTCGTAAATGTCAAAGTGAGTATCAAGTGCTGTTTTTGATAAACTCAATTCAGTTTCTGAAGAGTTTCCTATCATGTCTGATCACAAAACAGGATCATGTTTTGTCACATTCACCTCACAGTTACAATTCTTTTTCTATCATTAAGTCATGTGATAGATCTCTTTATGGGACATTATTGGGTGAATATCAACTTCAGTCTTTTCTGTATGGGCCTTATTGTGGTTGAGACCTAGGGCCGATATTCTTCTGGCACTTATGCCCCCTGGGCCTTGATTAATAATTATTTAAAGAAATATTCCCCTTTAGTATAAATCCACTAGCATTCTATCATGAATGCTGTTCTCTGATTGGCTACGCTACCCACTATCTATTCTGTGATAGATAGTAAGTAGCGTAGCAGTGTGCCCTTGCTAACAAAGTAATGGCCACTTAATGGCATTTTCTAAGTGTCTGTGAAGAGGATGTCGATAAAGTTTTGAATGACTAGTAGATTTATAGTAAAACAATTAGATTATTCGCTCTCGATTTCTGTGTGTGATAGAAATCTCGAGCTCATAATCTAATTGTTTAACAGAGTGGGGTTCTTTAAGAATACATGTAAGCCCAGTCAGTCTTTGACAGGTAGAAATTTTATGCTGTCCAAAAAAACTGTCTTATTAAGCTGATTTTTTGTGTTCTTGGTGTCCTAATCGCTTAGCTGTGCAATAATTAGCAAAGTTGTTTGTCTGTCCTAGAAGGTGTAGAATTGTACATGATCGCTACAATATGAGCAAGCAAACTGCAATGTTATATATACAATATGAGCAGCCGATTTTTACAGGGCATCTGACAGAATGTGGTGGTGTGGATCTGCATAATTCACTAACATCCACACCCTCCACATAACCAGAGCTTTTCTTCACATGAAACAGAAAGTGTTTCATATTAGCAATAACGCAGATGCTTAACATACCCACAAGTAAAAATTGCGAAGAGATTGAATGATTATTTTGAAGTAGTTTTTCTCCTAAAACAGCGACGAAAACATGCCATTTCGTTCGTGATGTGTTTTTCTGCAGGTGTTCCAACTGACTTTGGGTGAAGAGCCTGGAAACTATTTTTCATTGTCCAATGTAATGCCTGGTTACTAAGTTACAGATGTTCCAAGATTGCAACAACGAATTCTTCACATACATACATACAAGTTCATTCATATTCATAATTACAAAAAAAAATGTAAATATATAAATTCGAAAAGGGGAGTTTGGAGGTCAACCCTATCAATAAAACTCCCTAAAAAAAAATTAAAATTAAAATTATGTTAAAAATTATTGAAAAAAAAAATTGGTTGGTAAAAACTCTACAGAAAAGCTGTGTCAAATGAATAAATACCTGTCAACAAATACTAGAAACAGATCAAGCATTATGTCAAAATTGGCAGGCATGATGTTTAATAAGTTTATTCTATTAAAGAGCTTAAATTGTTGGCAAGACTTTGAAGTGCTTTTTGTTTCACTGTTGTCCGGTACATTGGAAAGGCTTTATTATCAATTTTGTTAACTGTTAAAATTTCCACATAATCCAGTGTGTTTTCCGCATAATTGATACCTTTTTTCTCCCGAAAATTTTGTGCATAATTTGTTATTTTTTTCCACACCCTCTCAGATGGCATAGATTTACATATTATCATATTATACATATCATATTATCTTTTCAGATGTATACATTGTTTCAGTGTGTAATTTTCAGTGCATTCCTTAGCCTTTCAGAACTTGCATTAGTTGAAAAATTTACAAAGATACTTAATATTGATCACTACAGGTGAAGACTGGGTTTGCAGGCATAGAATGCAGCATTCTACTGTGGAGTTACCATCATAGGAGAAGCTACTGAATTGCTGATGATTCCAGTCTATGTTACACACATGTGGAATCTGACCGATTGTCTGCTCTTACAGAGAGAAAAAAATAACCAAATAATTTGCAATGTTGTGGCTAAAGTAGGTACATAGGCAAGTTTGTAAATCTCAGAAAGTTGTCATCATTAACTGAGTTTTGTGAATGTTTAGTGTCAAAGTCTGAAGTAAAACTTCCGCAAGACAATGCATGTCAGAATTGAGATGCACAATTTG